AAGCCTTGTCATCTTACAGGCTGGTGTGCTTCTCCCATGTGGGCTTTGTTGTTTCTCAGTTAGATGGCCCCTTGTTTATCGTCCATCCATTTATCATGATGCTACCTACTGGTCCTGGTGTGAGGATTTTTGTTTCTTTCATTTAGTTGCAATCCATACTGAAGGCTGCAATTCTTGGTGTTCACTAACAAGTGCTTCAATTCCTCCTCACTTTCAGCAAGCAAGGTTGTGTCATCTGTATATTACAGGTTGTTCATAGCGTTCCTCCAATCTTGATGCCACATTCTTTTTCATGTATCCCAGATTCTTTGATTTTTTTTCTCATAATACAGATTGAATAAGTATGGTGAGAGGGTCTAACCTAACACACACCTTTCTTGATTTTAATCCGTACAGTATTCCCTTGTTTTTGCATGACTGCCTCTTGATCCGGGTACAGGTTCTGTATGCACACGATGGAGTGTTGTTGAATTCCTATTCTTCTCAAGGCTGCCTAAAGTTTGTTACGATCCACACGATCATATGCCTTTGCATAGGCAATCCTTTATTCGTAGGTGCTACTGCCCATGACAATTCATGTGAACATTTACTGGGCGTATCTTAGCTTTCAACTTTACAGTGAGTTTTAGAAATAAAAATTAAAATGAGAGACACTCACAGAGAAAATAAATTAAAAAGTATCGCTACAAAACCATAGAATGTTTTATTAAACAAAACGATCAAAATGTGAAGCTACTGTTTCTCAAGATATTTTTCATCTAGGTCGCTGCCCTTTTGAAGACAGTGTTTCTGTCACTCTAACCCTCCTCCAAAGAGTTCTGCACTCATCGATTCACAGCACATCAAAATAGCAGGCTTGGCGTCTTTGGTGAGATCAAATCGTGTTGTTTTTAAAGGTTATCTGTGTGTGGGTACTGAAGTAAGCCTTAAAGGGCAAGGTCAGCACTGCGGGGGAGATGGGGTGCTTCTCCTACAACTGTCCTTGCTATCCTTGAAGGATGAGCAGGTTCAGTGTTGTGACTGGGGAAATTCCTCTGCACAATTTTTCTGACTTTTTCCTCACCAAAGTAGCTACATTTTCTTGAAATTTCCTAATAAGCCCCATCATCTTTTCTTTGCCCTTCAAAATAATCCGTCAGGGTTACTCCTTAGAAATCTTCAAAAATGGTCACTAGAACTGCTGAGATGACCTCTTTTCCTTGAATTTAACTGGCCCAACATGTTGATCCCTTCAGATGCCACGGTTTTGATTGGACCTTGCTCCCTCGATTGTGTTGGCAAATCTAAGGCTAACCGCTGTCTATGATTGATTCCGATATCATCTGCACTAATCTCGACCTTGCTGAGAAGACTGAGGAAAGGATGAGCTTTCTGAGTTAGCTGGTCTTCATGCAATACCTTTGGTACACATCAAACTGAGATCAAGTGTTCCCTTGAAATAAAAAATGTTGGACTATGTGTTTCCAACTTCAATGGCTAGCTATCATATCATAGGCAATTCTGTGATCTTCTTCCATCAGTTTCTAACTTTCAGCCACTTTTTCTTCATTTGTCAAGGTTTATGGTTTTCCTTCTCATGGCTCATCTTATCACTCACTGCCAAAGAGTTGATTCTAACACACAGGACACTGGAGCACAGAGTAGAATTACCCCTTTGGGTTTCTGAGGCTACAAATCTTTACAGGAGTAGAAAACCTCATCTTACTCCTCTGGAGCGGCTGGTGGGTTCGAACTGCTGACCTGTGATTGGCAGCCTAAATTGTAACCCACTATAACACTAGTATTCCTGGCTCATCTTGATGTCTTCTCAATCCTCCTTAAAATGCTTGATCCGTCTGAAAATTGTTTTGTGTGATGTGGAATCCTAGTAAACTTGTTGCAAAGTTTCAATGATTTGGGAAGAGAAAGAGGGAAGAAATGAGTGCTCAAAGTTACGGGAGTCATATAAGTGAAAGTTAAGAGACGCTTTCAAAGCACTATAGTTCTCTTAATACAATTTGGAGTATTAGGCAGGTTAAGACTAACTTGGGAACAGATATGAAACCAAGGCATTTGGTTCATTGTATTCGGCTAGCAGATAAACATTGCTAAAAAGCAACATTTCAAAACAGTGTTGGGTACCATTTGCAAATTAATATCATATGCTTTACATTAATTTAGATTTTATAAGTGTATGCTTTATTTAATTAAATATTATTATTTTTTATTTTATTGAAGTACACAAATATATGCTGACTTTGAATTTACTGTTCCCAAACATTGGAGAAGACCAGTGGTTTGTATTAGCTTCTGTCTTTCTTTGGATCGTTCTGTTTATTAACATTAGACTGAACTATCCTCACTTGCCATCATGTCAATTCTGACTTATGGTTACCCTATAGAACAGAGCAGAACTACATCTTTGGGTTTGCAAGACTTTAAATATTTACAAGAGCACACAAACAAATAAAGAATACCCCTCTAAAAGAACACCTCCCCCCTCAACAAACAAAACAAAATATCCAAACTCATGGCCAGCAAGTCCATTTTGACTAAGGTGACCTCCTCTTTCTCCTGTGGAGTGACTAGTGGGTTTGAACAACTGACCTAACAGTGGACAGTTCAATGCATAACCAACTACTATCGCCAAGACCTGTGATAGAAGCTATCACTTGTTATGATGGTGTTTTGAATTCAAGAGATTCAAATGTATTTATCAGTGTTTAAACTTTCATTCCTTTTCTTGGCCAGTGTTTTGCAGTGGAGAGTCACTGTGGAAAGGGGCATGAATGCCATGTGGTTTATGTAGTTAACTCAGTAAGCTATAATGCTGTCAATAGAGACGGTGACTGGACATAGTTATGGATATTCTAAATGCCACTGACTGGTTCACTGCAAAGTGGCAAATTGCACTCTAACAAAATGATGGCATCAGAAACTTGTCTGAATGACAGAATTTTCTAATTTTGTTTGTTTTCCAGGTGACAATGGCCAACATTGGAATAAATGGAAATCATTCCCTGGAGACCTGTGAAACAATACTTTTTGCTCTCCGAATGGCAACGTGGAATCAAATTCTAGACCCTTGGGTATATATTCTTCTGCGGAAGGCTGTCCTTAAGAATCTCTACAAGATTGCCCGGCGTTGTTGTGGCGTGCATGTCATCAGCGTACATATCTGGGAGCTCAGCTCCATTAAAAATTCCTTGAAGATTGCTGCTATTTCTGAGTCACCACTTTCCTAGAAAACAAATCACTAGGCCTCGAGTTTTATAGGACAGGGATCCATTTCGTGTCTAGGACAAAATTAAGAAAGATATCAGTGATGTTTCAGTAAATTAGATACCTGTGCAGTGGAACTTCAAATAGTTCATGGGAAAACATCTATTTTCATTTCATCTTTCACCAACTTTCTGATACCCTTTTGTATATAACCTAACTGGAAATTTTAGACACCAGCATGTTGGTGGGGGGCAGCATTGCCTAGTTTGTCTGTTACATTTTGTTAAATTTAACTGGATTATTTCACATTTCCATTTGCTTTGTGTTAACTGGACAGAAACACAGTATCATGTTAGATACTCAAATTAGAACAAAATGAGTTTTTCTGCTGGTTTGTGAACTCATCTATACTTTTAGGCCAATCGTATTTAGTCAGTGTATTGCCAGAGTGCATATTAATGTGACCTGTACAATGACCCCTTTGGGGTCATTGCTTTGCAGTTGCTCCTTACAGATCAAACACAGTGAAACCCTTTTATCTGGTCTACTCTACACCTCATTGTGTAGCCTCACTCAATACAGATGGTCACATCACCTAATTAATTTGGGTTTAATGTTGCAAGCTGCCTTTACATTAGAAATAATTCGCCTTTGTTGCATTTGAAAATTATGACTGCCTGCATTTATTATATGGAGAAATGTTGGTTGGGGAGGCGTGTTCATGTGTGGTACAAATGAGTAAAGACTTAACTACAAGCTCAAAGATGAGGGATTCTTCTATAAACAATTCTGGAAAACTGCTTCCCAAAGGTCACACCCTTGAAAACCCGATGAGGTGGTTCTGGCCTAACACAGGTGGCTGCTATAGAATCGACAGCAACCAGTACCAACAACAGTGCAGCATATGGTTATTTGCATATGTTTTAATAAATCATAGTATACAGCTTTCATTTAAACCCAGTTTCTTTTGAAAAAAAATTCTATTGCACTGATGCACATTAAATAATTTCTTGAGAAATTAATGTTTTATCTCAGCACATACATCGATGGCTTGAATTATAGTAGCTCCTAAAGCCCAGTTATCTACAATAGATACTGTAAACAATCAGAACTTAAACTCAAGTGATAGGTGCAAAGAAAAATGGCAGTGGGTGTTTTACTTTGAGTGACTACTTCTGTGTCAGAGAACAAAAGGAACACTATATATAACACCCAATGATTATCTGCCGCTAGTGTGTTTCTCTGTTTTACACACACACACACACACACACACAGAAACTACTGTTGTTAATGGCTTCCCCAGATCTGTAGGATGACTGACAACTTCTAATGTTTGTATTACCAGCATCAAGAGGAGGAGTGACAGCTAGTCAAGCATCAGGGAAAATAAGTTTAATCCGGTGACCGGGTGATTAAAAACAAAACAAAAACAAATACAACTCTTCAAAAATTTCCTTAATAATGCACTTTTTTCCCACCTGTTTGTAAAGTTCAATGCAGAGAGTCTTCCTAACAGTCAAAAGATTCTGGGTTCATTAGCAAGTGGAATAGCTAGTTCGACTTTATAATAGGGAAATGCATGTTTGCAACATTGTTTGCATTGCGTAGATTGGGTCCGTTTTTAAATGAATCTTTCTGTGAGACTGATTCCAGAGTCTCCGGAATATCTGTGAAGTTCGGTTAGATGTAAATGGCTATTCTTAAATCCCTGCTCATGACAGGCAATTTGCAATGGTAGTTGTTTACTATTTGTGAGTTTGGGTAAATTCACAGTGATACAATGCAAGCCAGTGAGGAAATCACTTCATTGAACCTAAAGACAACAACTTTATTTGTGAATTTAAAGAGGGGCAGCATGCATATACACACAGACACATGATATTCTCAATTTAAGAGCACAAGTTTAGGCTGTTCTCATATACAGAGCACATTTTTGAAATTTGAAAAATATTTGCCAAATTTAATTGCAGACAAGGATTTCTTAGTGGAGATGAATGTGGAAAATTATAAATTTTATGTATTTTAATTTAAACTGGCAGTTCTAGATACATATTAGTTATTGTGGGATATGCATAGACACACAAAGGGACTTTAAAAAGTTCGTGGAACAATTCTATTTTTTATTCCATTTTCCATGAACTTTTTGACCTCTCCTAGTATATGTGTGTGTACGTGTGAATATATGCACCCAGTGTATGAATTGGAAACGGCTCAGTCTATGAACTGGAAATGGCTTTTTTAAGAAAGCCATTAAGTGTGTGATTGCAATGAGTCCTTAAATTTGAGCAGAACATTTAAATAATTCAGAAGATTGTCACTTTGTTGAGAATGTTGGTGTGTTGTTAAATGAGGACAAGGTACCAAAGCTGCAGCCTCTCACTTTGTACTCAGCAGGATGCCACAGTGAACATATCTGTGTGTAGGGACTAGGGAGAGACGTGGTGAACAAAACCTCTTCTAGAGGCTCTATGCCTCTTCTTGAAGCTGCTGCTCAGTTGGCAAAAGTGTTGCTGTATTGCCGTGATCTCACCATGGGCCTGTGTGTCTGCACATTGTCAGATTTGGCATTACCATGTGTGACAATGCATGAGTATGAAGGATGATGGAGTTATAGGGAAGCTGTTCTGTAGGTCGTGGAAGAGATATCAAGTTATCTGAGCATGGATTTGGGGCAACTATGTTCCTCTTAAAATTATACTAAGCCCAAGAATTAGATATAAAAACTGAAAAACAAATAACAGAATATATTTTTACATGGTTTTAGGCATTTCTCTCAAGGAAAATGGAGTGAGAAAAATAGCATACATATCTGACTTAAGAATTTTATTTTTGTTACCATGTATCTTGCAATATAGTTTGGCAAATTATTATGTAGTGAAAATTAGAATAGAACATCCAACAAAAACTTTTAACATGAGTATTCAGAGTGGAAGTATATGTGCTCAGACTTCTAGAAACAAATAACACAGATATTTTTCCACAAGTTTCCCATGTGGCATGTTTTAAGTTCTGCTGTTAAATCTGTAATTCAGCCATCGAAATAAAAATACTTCCATTCTTATGGTGTGAACTATTATCCAAGTAACTTCAGATAATATTTGATTATTCTGGGAAAATTACAATAGTAATATCTTCTGAGTGTGATTTAAAAAAACAATACTACACACCAAACCCTGAGTTTTGATGAGAATATTTACAGGAACAGATTATGCTGATTTATCATTGGCTCGGAATGCATCCAAAAAGCTTAGAATTTTACTGATGGGTTTAGATAGGTACTATAAATATTCTCTTTAAATTAATATTTTTTCCTTCTAAATGCAGAAGGTATAACCGAAGTGGAAAATGCCTATAAATAAAAATATACGTGTGTGGGTTATAATAGTCTTCTTTGTTCATTTCCAGACTTACAGAGAAAAACCTTCTTTAGCTTTGTGCCTAATCTGAGTTTACAACTCAAATGGTAGAACAGTTATTAAACATCTAGGGTGACATTTTTGTGGAACCTGTTGCTAGTCTCACCAATATCACCACCTTTGCTTCACATGAACACATTTCCAAGGCTAGACTATAAAGAACGAGAATGTTATATTTTCGCCCTTTCTCGTCTTTATCTGGATGTTGTTACCACCTACAAAAATAATGTTGGACTTCAACTTGTTACTGACACATTTTCATATAGTAGATGAAATCTGATTTTCCTTGTTATGTGAATAAATGTATTTGTGCTCTTTATATTTGTTGGATTGTATAAGATACTAAATGGTGATATGTATATTTTGTTGCTGCATCTGTATGCAATTCCTGTAATATTAGTGCTTTGTTAAGAATAAAACATCAAACAAATTATTTTGTGATAATTTTCCATTCATGTTTATCCTGAGTGGTTATTATTATGAAGGTCATATAAAACTTGGGATTCTTAAACCTAAATGCTCAGCTTTATTTATTAGATGGGAAGAATCTTAAATTGCTCTCCATTATTATATTTTTTAACTTTTCTTATTTTCAAGTGTTGTTGTAAATAATACCACAAACTAGGTGGCTTAAAGATCACAGAAATTTATTCTCTTCCAGGCTGGAGGCCAGAGATTTGAATTCAGGGTGTTAGCAAAGGTGATTCGATTTGAGGAGTCTGAAGCAGAACCCGTTCCATGTATCTCTAGCTTGGATGGTCGTTAGCAGTGCCCAGTCTTCTTGGGTTTGTCACACCATGGCTGCAACCCCACCTGTGTCCTCACATGCCCTCTTCTTTGGGTCCGTGTCTCTGCTCTGTGTCTGGGATCTCTGGGGGTGTCTGGTTATAGTAACAAGTCAGATTGGATTTAGGTCCATCGTATTCCAGTAAAACCTCATTTAAAGATTTAATCTCATCTTTAAGTACATTGTTTCCAAATCCAGTCACATACTCTGGTACTGGGACTTAGGAGTTGACTGTCTTTTTAAGAGGAAACAAATGAACCCATATCAGGCCATAATGCCTATCTATCCCTGTCCACACTTCTGTTTCATCTGCTCTCTTTTCTTTAGCCTGTATTTCACATTACTTGTTCATGTGTGTGTTGAGTTGATTTTGCTTCCTGGTGACTCCATGTGACAGAGTAAAGCTAAAGTTTCCTGGGCTGTAATCTCTATTGGGCAGGAGCCCTGGCGACTTGGTGAGTACAAATTGGGTTGTTAAGCACAAGGGTAGCAGTTCGAAAACACCAGCTCTTCCTCAGGAGTAAGATGAGGCTTCCACTCCTGTAGAGTGGTGCAGTCTCCGAAACACGCAGGCATAGTTCTACCCTCACTACGGGGTCACTCTGAGTCACAATTGACCTGATGGCAGTGAAGAGTATTTACGGGAGCTGGCCTAGTGGCACTGTTCCCTAAGTGCTGGGCTGCTAACCCCAAGGTTGGCAGTGCAAAACCACCAGGCACACTATCAAGCTTGACAGCATCAGAAACCCTATGTCAGCTTCCAATGAATAAGAATTGGTGCAATGGCAGTGGGTATCTGGATTGTCTGATGGGAGCAAATCCTCTGTCTTTCCGCCCGAAGAGTGACCCACCGTCCTTCTGGTTAGCAGCTAACCACTAAGCCGTGTTGTCACCAGGGCCCTTTCACATTAGCTAAATAAATACATAACTCACTGCTAGCAAATCAGTTCTGAATCCTAGCAATCCCATGGGACAGAGAAGCACTGCTCCTTAGAGCTTCCAAGACTTACATCTTTAGGGAAGCATCTGCCTCAGCTTTCCCTCAAGGTGTGTTTCAGCCATTGACATGGCAGTTAGCAATCTGGTGCTTAATACAAGGGACACTAGGGCTCTTTAATATTACCTAGGCATTCCTGTATTAGAAGTATGCCCAGAGCTCCTTAGAGGCAAGGATGGTGAGACGTCGTCATATATTTGGGGCATGTTGTCAGGAGAGACTAATCTCAAGGGAAGGACATCATGCTTGGGAAAGTAGACGGGCAGAAAAAAAGAAGAAGGTCCTTAAAATACGAATTCACACAATGACTACAACAATGGGCTCAAGGATAGGAACATCTTTGAGGCTGGCTCAGGACCTGGCAGTGTCTCCTTCCGTTGTGCATAAGGCGGCTGTGGGCCAGAATAGACTCAATGGCGCCTAGCAACAGCAACAACAGCAAGCAGGTCCTAATTCAAATAGATTGGGTAATTTCCAAAATGTGGCAGCTTATGTGTATTAGATAGAGTAAGATAGTTGTATCTGTGATACCACACAACCCCCAAATCATCATGCCTTAAACTCACTTAGATTTATATCTCACCTATGATACTTACAAGGTACCTGGTAAGTTTAGTGGTTCAGAACTCAGGTTGCTACACATGATTGGCATTTTGAATCCACCAGTCATTCCTTGGGAGAAAAAACTGGCAGTCAGCTTCTGTAACAATCACAGCCTTTGGAAAACCGAAGGGGGCAGTTGTACCCAGCCCCACAGGATCACTGTGACCTGGAATTGACTTCCTAACAAGGGGTTTGGACTGGGGTGGTTCTGTTCATTGTAATCACTCAGGGACTTTGGATGGCAAAATAGCTTCCATCTAATAAATTGTTAGATGGGAAACATCCAGCATGTTGAATTATTCACTGGCTCTTTGAGCTTAAATGTTCAGCTACTAACTGAGAGGTTGGAAGTTTAAGTCCACTCAGGCACCTTGGAAGAAAGATGTGGTGATCTATCTCCAAAAGGTCACAGACCTTCAAATTCCTTTAGCGTGCAGTTTGATACTGATATACATAAGGTTACTATGAATCAGAATCAATTTGATTTTTTTTTCATTTTGTTTTCTTAGAGTTTGAGCCTGGAGAAAACACACAACTTTTTGTTCATACATTTTTGGACAAAGCAAGTGATAGGACCCTATTAGCTTTATGGGAGACAGATAAATGAAATGCTTTAAGACACTTGGGTGAGAAAGGGAAAATAATTAGTGACAGAACTAATGATTTCCACATTGTTTAAAGAGTTACTCATTCTTCTTAGTAACATTCAAAGAGGAACCACCACACTGCTTCTCTTAAGAAAATCCTAAACTAAGAACATTTAGGACTCACTCTTCGTAAGCACTCAGAAACATATCCTTAAAATCTATCAGGTCAAAGCAGAATAAATGCCAAAATAATCTTAGATGATTAAAACAAAACAAAAAAACACTGAAAAATGAAAAGAAAAATTTTGGTTTTTAAAATGCAGGAAGAAAGACAATTTTGGACAATGCACAAGCATCCCTGGTTGCAGCATGGTCTGAATAGTTGGCTTTCAAATAAATGAGATAGATTTAAATATGTTTTGCTGCTTTTATTTCAGTTTCTTTATGACAATATGTTTACGAGTATACTTGATGCCATTAAGTTCTAACAAACTGTCAGACAATATGGAGCAAGAATAAATGATAGTTAATATTCATTTTCTCAATATGGAGCAAGTCCTTACATTTGAACCCAAACATGTCTGTATATGAAATCAGAAACTTGGTTCAAATTAAATCTTTCGATTTAGGTGTTAGTTCATATATATTTAATGTTCTGTTTCAAAGTTACTGCAGGAAATTGTTGCGAAGGATTCCTAATAGAACTATTTCTGCCCTATCTATATATTATCTGGAAAAAAAGATCATGATCTGATGTGCAATTAGGATACAGTATCTTGAATGTTTTTATGCTATCAAAAACTCATATTTGTTAAAATATTTTTAAGTTAATATTAATTGTTTATGAAAAGTAGTAAACATGATTTTTTAATTTATATTTTCATAGTATAAGAAGCATTATTGAAATCTAAAGAGCTATATTTTGGATTTGAAATGCACTTTAAATTACCACTTAGAAATGTAAACTCATCTTATAGTTTCATATACAGTGAACCCTCGTTTATCGCGGTTAATCGGTTCTAGACCCTACCGTGATAAATGAAATTCCG